ATTGAAAATAGACTTTTTGGATCGTATTATAGGATGATTTTTTCTGATTTTTTTTTAATACTTTGACAAGTTAAGCTTGACTGCGTGGTTCCGATAATATGAAACAGATAAACAGGCAAGATGAACTTTAAAGAATTTTTTAAGAAAATCGAAAATAGATTTTTTTAATGGAAAATTTGAAGTGCGCTATATTTATGATGATTTTTTTAAGTTTTTTAAACTTTGACCAATTAGATTTCAGTGCATGCTTTTAATACTGTGTACCTGGTGACTTTTCCAGTTGCTTAGGCCAGTGGCTGTATCGCCTAGGGGCTTTTTCAGCAGTTAGTGAGACCAGGCTGTACCGCGTAAGATGTAGCCGTTTATGGGTATGAATAAGTTGCGAAAATCGTAGCTTTTGTTCCTGTGAGATTTTGGAGTGCAAGCGTAGGCATACTAGCATCTAATTTCTTGCTTAGCATCATAAACCCATATACTACCCCCCTTCGGCAATCCCTTACCTTGTCTCCACATCCTACCTGCAAGCAAGTTACCTAAAATCTCGTTTATTGCGGTGTTTAAATTTTAGGAAAATTACCTTTATTTTTAAGAATTTTACAGTGAAAAAACTTCCAGGGCTGCAATTCGTAGAATTTTGTTAAATTTGTGAAATTGTTTTGCAACGAAAAAGAAAAGAAGAAAAATTCAGAGCGACTAGAAAAAGAAAAATTCTAAGAAATAACATTTTGTTTTAGAATCTCCTTTTTTTCTTTGAATGCTTTGCACCTTTTTTTTTCCTTTTTTCGTTGCTGAAAATTTTTCTTTGGTTTTTTTTTCTCCCACATCTTCCGGAAGTATTTTTGAAAATACGTGGGGCAGTATTAAATGAATGACTTGCTAAGTGAAATTTATCACAGACATTGTGATATATTTTTGTACGTAGCGGGAACCGAGGCATACAAACTGGGCGTAACTGAGGGTCTAGCAGAGTTACAGTAGAAAGGCATTTTGAAGTGGGAAGAAGAGAAGAGAAAATACTATTAAGAAATTAGTAAAAGTAGTAAAATTATTTTGATAAAATTATTATAATGGCAAGAAATGTTTTGGTCCATTAAATCCTATACATTTCTTACCGTTACCATGATTAGATCTCGTCAGTATGACGACTGTGGTAATTGCAGTTGGTGTAAATCAAATTTAAATTAGTTATTTTAAATTATTTATTTTAAATTAATTATATTAAAACTGGTTACATGAAAACTAGCAAAAACGCATGCTAATGCAGGTAAAAGTAAAAAGCATTATATGTAAAGTAGCATTTTACAACTAATATGGTGTCTGTGTCACGGAGTCATTCAGAAATCCTTCACACTGGTAATCCGCGGAATCCTTCTAAGATAAGGATGTGCTTTATCCTCTCAATGATTCATTGTTGCTTAACAGACACTTGTTGCAGGAAAAAACGGTGATTAAGGAGAAGAGTTTTAAAAAATGGCAACGAAGACTGGGCGACAGAAAGGTTCTTGGAAGCAGCTAGTGCGAACAGCTGTAATGATTTGAAACTTTCACTTATTCAACACGTTTGATCTGTGCCTCTCGCTCTGTTTGGGGTATTTTTTTTTTTTTGTAAGGAGTTTACTGTGAGGGGAAAAAAGGGCGCGGAAGGAACGGGAGGCAAGAGAGAAGTAATTTTCAAGAGGACAAAGGCAGACTTCTCTCTGGTATCTTCAGAAATACAGGCTGTTACCCACTGTATTTATTGATACGTATGATGTTTAAACCATGGTAGGATGTGTCAGTTATTCAGATGCTTGATCGCCTGGAAGATAGCTTTCTAATATAACAAAAAAGTAAAAAAAAATGAATTTTTTATCTTTTTTTATTATTTTTTTGTCACTTTTTTTATTATTTATTATTTTTTTTATAAAATAAAGAAGTGCATTGTTTTTTAATATTTACGCTAAGTATGACAGTAATTTTTTTTCCTCTCAAGTAATTGCTTGCTTGCTGAGATGTTGCAAAACTCCGTCTATCTCTGTGGTGTTCTTGCTGCTAAAAATTTTTCATCGATGCAATCTTGCTCTGTCATAAAAAAAACCTAGCTTTTGCGGCGGCGGCACTGAGTGCTAAAACTAAACTCAGTTAGCAGCTACACATTTTCATTTTATTTGTTCTCTGGTCGACCAAAAGACAATTGCAAAACGAAGACGGGGCTGCGGCTGCTGCTGCTGCTATAACGGCGGCTACAAACTGCTGCTGCTGCTGCCGCTGTTCTATGGAATCATTGAGGGGAGGGGAGGTGGGTGCCTGTGTCTGGATCGGGCGGTGGTGCCGAATGGTGACAGCCTGTGCAAGGCACCAAACCGATGATGATGATGCACCGAACCCCGAGCGTGTTCCTTCATCCTACTCCATCCCAAAGCAGCAGCAGCAGCAGGCACCGATTTTTCGTCCTCGGTTGCTGCAAAATTTGATTGCAAAACTGTTCTCAGTATGTCTATGTGCAGCGGCCTGTTCGGCCCCGTCTTCCGCACCATAATTCCCGGCGGTTCCATTTGAGGTGCTTGCTCCCGGTGGCACTGGTTGGTTCTTCAATTCGAAGCCCCAACATAATGTGTTTTCTTTTTTTAGGAAGGGGTAGAGGGGAGGGGGTTGGATGGGAGGGTTGAACTCTTTTCCAGAAATTTTTATTGTCCCAATTGCTGCATCTGGTTGCTTGTCACTGTCCTGTCCACGTGCAGCACGTCCTTGTTAATTCACCAAGGTTGCGGGTGGTACCCACTGGTACCG